TGTATGCTGCAATAGGTCAGCACAAATGCTATATTCTGTTTACTGAACATACAGCTTTAAAAGGCCTGCAGCCATGTTATTGAATGATTCTGGCAGATTAATGGAAAGACGTAATATCATCTTTTCCTTCCACGTATTAAGAATGTTCTTTTAACATCGCTGTTGTTAACAGGAAAATGAGGGTATGCTACTGCAAATGCTCTCAGCTCAAGATTCTTTTGCCCCCACATATGGCAATTTCCATTTATAATTATTTTCAAATGATTAGGAGGTGTCCACTCCTGTCAAATGAATTGAGGTGCACTGGAACTTAAATGTTGATAGGCAAAATAGATCTAAAAAGTATGCAATAAGAAGATATGAAAATATTATCTGACAACAGGTGGGAAAATTTCAGTTAAAACGCATCTCACCCACCTCTCTTAATATAATCATCTGAGAAACCCTGCTCAATATGTCTCTGCTATGTAATTTGTTTTATGTGTCCACCATATATGTATGCTTTTTAGTGGGAACCATTTAACACATGTGACAAAGGTATAATCTAGAACTGCTTGTCTGAGTTTAAAATTTCAGATGTTGACTTTTGACTCTCATTGTTCTACTCTGTGCTGCTTGTCTTGTGTCTACAATGTTATCCTTGTTGACTGATATTTTTAAAAAAATCAAACTTTTATCCTTAAGTTCTATACTGCATTACTTAAGATAGTGACATTTCCTATTCCAAATTTGTATCATAGTAGTAAGTTGTAATTCTGTTACTAAATGTCTTTTTTTCAAGGTATACACTGTTGTTGCAGCCTAGGATAAGAGAACTAAGATGTCTGCGATAATATATTTTATTGGATTAATCTCTGCTGATGAGAGTGACACACTTTGGAGCTTACACAGAGGTATTCTTCAGGTCACCAGTGTCCGATGAAATAGGCATACTGCTACTGCCCAAACCTGAGATGTGCCAAAGATGCCACTGACATGCATTTGCTGTTTTTTAATAACTTAAAAGGAATTTGCATGTTGTTTATGTTCTTTGTGAACTAATTGTCTTCTTTGCAAAGAACCCAGAGCTTGTTTGATTATTTAAACCACGGGTTCTTAAGCTTTATTGCACCATGCCCTCCTTCTGATAACAAAAATTACTGCATGATCCCAGGAGAGGGGATTGAAGCCTGACACACTCCCCCCAGGCTTTGCCGCTTGGGTGAAGGAGTGTCAAAGCCAAAACCCAAGCACCACTGGTCTCACTGGGGGGCCAAAGCCAAGGACCTCAGCCCTAATTAGTGGGATGCCCTCTCCCTGCTCCCTCAAAAGGGCACAGACTCAGTCAGGGGTAGGGTTGCCAGATAATTTCAACAAAAATACCGGACACACTTGACATTACATCACAATCTACATTACATCTTAATTAGAAAATACCGGACATTTATATTTTCTCTATTTTCTCAATTTGTTTCCTAAACAGAAATCTCAAATACTGGACTGTCCAGTTCAAAACCGAACACCTGGAAACCCTAGTCAGGAGGGCAAGGCTTGGGGGCAGACAACCCTCAGCGCTGCCTGTACCATGCCTTCCCCACCCAGCCCTCAGTGCTGCTGGGGATTCCAGTGGCAATTTAAAGAACCCAGGGCTCTGGCCCCTGCTGCAATTGTTGCAGCACCAGCAGTGGCTAAGAGCCCCACACCCTTTTAAATTACTGGGCCCTAGGGCAACTGCACCCTTTGTGCTCTCCCCTTCTTCCCCCTTCAGTGGCCCTAGGGGCCTGTAACTTGAGTCCCACTGGTTCAAAGCCTTTGGAATTTGGCTTTGGCAATGGGTCACGAGAAAAAAAAAAAAAAAAAGCAGAGGCTTTTCAGGGTTAGTCCTTTGTGGGCTGCCATCTCTGTTTACCTGCACCTCTGCAAATATCAGGCAATTACAGCTCCTGTTGGTCATGGATCGCCATTCATAGCCAATGGGAGCAGTGGGAAGCAGCATGATTCAAGGCACTGCTTCCCGCCACTCCAATTGGCCATGAATGGCGATCTGTGGTCAACAAGAGCTGCAGTCACTTGTTATGTAAGGAGGTGCAGATAAACATAGAGATGGGGGCCCACCATAGAGTAACTCTGGTGGACCAGATCCCACCCATGGGCTGGCATTTGCTCACTCTTGCTCCGAGTGGTGGGGCTCAGGGTTCAGCCCTCAGCTATAGCATGTCTAAGCCAGTCAACTTTGGGATCCTGACTCACAATTTGAGAACTACTGGTTTAAACTTATCTTTCTGCTAATCTATAAGAAGCTGGCTGCTATGGTGCTGATTTCTTAAGATTCTTTTCATTTTATCTTTATAAACATTTTTAAATCATAAGATACTAAGTAAAGGTCCTTATCACTTACTTGCTATTTGATAGGACAGAGGACATTTCAGGCACTTGTAAACAATAATATTCACTAGCGGCAGATGTAATTATCACTCAGTCTCTAGTGATTTTGTACAAGTTTTAGTAGCTACCCTAATCATACATCTTTGGAAAGGTCCTTGATTTGGACCTTGATTTGGATGTTCTTAGGCTTTGGGTGCAGATAAATGTGTTTGCATGTGACAGTGTTTATCTTCAAGCTAAGTCAGTGTCTGCAATCTTGAAGATAATGAAACAATAATTCAAATATTCCATAATAGTCAGCTACACTTAATCAATAGTTCCAATGGTTCCAATTTTAACAGTTCCATTTAGAATAACAGGATATAACATCCTTTCTATAGCTTTCACACACCTTACAAGTGGGTTTGGGTGAGTATCAGGCATGAAGTGCCATTTAATATCAGTGTGACACCTGTGCAGGTCATGCAGCCATTGCTTCAGGTGCAAAGGAGGCCCACAGATGAAAGATTGGAACCCATTTCCATTGCTTATCAAGAAATCTAATGCACTGAAAGAGCACTTGTAAATGAACACCATGTATAGACCTTAGACTATTATCTTATTTAGAGGTTTCTTGTATCTCTTACCTTTGAAACAAAAGTCTGGGTTTAGGTTCACTTATTACAGTAATTAGCTCAAAAATGTTTTAAATATCAAGGATATGTTTGCAACTAGTATTTTGTTTGCAGGTATTTATTTTAGTAGGGCAAGGGGGCAAAACAGAAAATTAATTGTACTCTCATCTCTGACATTCACAGCATCTTCACCAGGAAACTGTCTAACATTGGAGTAGCTCTGGACCACTCCGTAGATTTTTCTTTGAGATAAATTTGCTATTAGCAGCTTCCAAATTTCCACTTTTATAAGTGCTCTGTTTTCCATAGTCTCAAGGAGCTGCTCTGGTGAAGCCTGCGGTGCATTTTTAACTATTGCTCTCTTTTGAAACCCACCACCATAGAGTAACTCTGGTGGACCAGACCCCACCCATGGGCTGGCATTTGCTCACCCTTGCTCTGAGTGGTGGGGCTCAGGGTTCAGCCTTACTTCGTATTTTCTCATAAACCGTAGGCCATTTCACTCTTGCTTAACCTCACTGGTTCCCTCCGCATTACTCATTACTCATTGATTTTCAGTAGAGCTGATAAAACATTTTCCAGTGGAATGTTTTTGGAATGTTTTTGGTCTAAAAATACTAATTTGTTAAAAGTCAGAATTATTCTGTGGAAACATGTTAATTTCGTTTATGTTATAGGTTTATGTTATAGGTTTTGAAATGTTTTGAAATGTTTATGTTATAGGTTTTTATTTGTATTTTATTTTATTATACAATTTTATATGTATAAAATGAATTTAAAATATGATACAAATTAATACAAAATAAAAATATTAATATTTAATAAGTCCAAATTGCAACAAAATATTGTTATTGTCCCTAAACAAAATTTTGCACAAACATTTCTTCTGTTGAGAATTTCTGTATTTCATGTTTGTTCTGTTCAGTATGAAAGCTATTTAGAAATCATAGTATTTCTCACAAAATAGAAACTTTGTTTCTCGACCAGCTCTGGTAGTCAGTTGTTTTTGCTGTTCAACCTTCCATTGTTTGAAAAAGAAATGGGAGATCATCTCTTTGTAAAATGGAAAAGATGGGTTTGTTAGTGACTGAACATGTGGCAATGAATTTGATTACAGGGATTTTCTCTCTGTTACACTCCAAAAACCCAGTGAATGTATTGGGGCAATTTCTGAACTTTGCAATTCCATTTGTGTAGAAATCAGTTTGATTTCATGAAGCATTAATTGGCATCATATTTGGTTTAGTGACTTTAGTTGGGTTGAAGAAGTATCAAAAGAAAATACCACTGTGTTTTCTTTCTTTCCTAAATTAGGCCCCAATCCTCCATGTGGCTTCTGCTGGCAGACCCTTGCATCTACACAACCAATCACAGGCTTGCGAGCTTATAATGTGACTTATGATAACATCTTGAACATCTTTAATTGACATCTTCAGATTTTTTTAATGGAAGGAGAACTGTAGGTGCCATACCGTGGATCCCACTGAGATTGTATTTTCGATAAATTCTAAGTACTTAAATATGTAAGAATGACCCTCCTGGGTCAGACCAATAGTCCATGTAGCTCTGTATCTCATCTTCTGAAAATGACTGATGCTCAGTGCTTCAGAGGGAATGAACAGAAAAGGTAATCAACAGAATTGTCTCCTTTCCCTATTCAGACACAGAATAGAATGAAACTGATGGCAGACAATTATGACGATGACTATCATCACTACCACCACCACCACCATCACCACCACCATCGGTCTCCTGGGAGAACCCAGCACTCAAATCACCGACCCTCTCCAGATCAGGTCAGTTACCTCCTTTCTAACCTTTACGCTCACCCTTTTACCATTCTGAAATTTCAAGATAAAATAAATATTCCAAAGAAATAATAAACAATACGAGTGATACATCTTTGGAACTGAAACGAATAGCTTTGCTATTTATTTCCATCTCTCAGGGAATCTAAATGTTTTCCTTTCTGTTTCTGTTTGGCTTTTTGTTTCTTATAATATTTTTCTTCCCTCTCTTCCTTTTACTTTTGCTTTGAGCGTTAAAGTAGAGTCATGATTCAACTGTTCAAACAGAAAGTTACTAATGAGCTTAGGCCATGTCTAGGCTGCAGAACTTTTCCAAGATACCAGAGGTATCCCAGAACAGTTTCCGAAAAAGGAGATATGTTCTTTTGGCATCCCTGTATTGCTCTTGGTGAGAGGAATAATGGATATTCCAAAAGAGGAGGTTTTTTTCTGAAATTTGGCCCCGTGTAGACAGGCCAAATTTCAGAAAAGCCTCTTTTGGAAAAATGAAAAAAGATACATAAATTACATTTCACAATTTGCGTATCTTTTTCTAATATAACTCTACAATCTAGATATAGCCTTTGTTACAGAAACTTCACTATTAGATACTTGCTTTTTGGAATAGCTGCTATACTAAGACTTGGTCAGCATTTCCATTATGAGTTCATGTTCTGTTGTTCCTAAGATGGCCATGAAAATACGTTTGAATTGAAACCATTCATTAGTAAAGATTGCATTAACTCAGTTTTGATTGTCTTTAGTAAACAAAATGTAAGTGTTTTGGGATGTACTTTAGAAACGATTTTTTTTCAAAAATTACTAGTGATTCTTGGGAGCCTCAATCTTTGAGTGCCCAGCCTGACACAACTTCAGGAGACCTTTGTTTCAAAGTAACTATTCTCTGACAAGTAATAGAGAGGTAGCCGTGTTAGTCTGATCTTGCTAAAACAAAAGGAAAAACTGTGTAGCACTTTAAAGACTAACAAGATGGTTTAATAGGTGATGAGCTTTCGTGGGCCAGACCCACTTCCTTAGATCATATTGTGGAAGAGAATTGGCAGAAGGAGAGACGTGCTTGTCAAAGAAGGAGAATGACTGAGAATGGGGAAAGTTGTAAACCGTGGACACAGGAGAGTAGTAGCTCAATGCTACTGTCTGATGATTGGAGATAATTGGTGTGAAAGGTAAGAGAAGGGAAAGGCTAAAGAGCAGCTGCAGAGGCATAGCTGTGACACAGCAATAGAAATTCTGGTTTTTGTGGAAGGGAAGGCAAAAAGATGAAGGTGAGCGTAGCAGTAGTCTCTCTTTGGGTGGAATATGAATTCCAAAGTGTACAAGAGAAGGAGAATAGAAAGGTAATGGAGATACGAATGGGTGTAAGATTTAAGGGGCAACCACTGGAGTGGAGACATGTCAAGGATGGTTGCAATGTTTAGAAGCTGGTGTCTGGGCAGATTATGTTAGAGGGAAGGAGGGCAAATGATGGAGGATGTAGAAATGAGATAAAGACTTGTCATTGTGTGTGAGCAGAGAATAGTGGGATGAGGATAGAGTTGGTGCGCGTGAAGCAATGAAGGGGGAGTGAAGAAGGAACATAAGCTAGAGAGGGTGGGAAATGTAGGGAGTGACAGAAATGAGATGTGATGAGAATGGTAGGACACAAATGAGAAATGATTATGCAGTCAAGGAGCAGAAGAGCAGGAGGTGACAATAAAATGGAGGATCTATATATCAACAAACCAGCACATTAGAAATCTGCTGGTGTGGCAGTTAAACCTTGGCAGATGGTCAATTACGCATCAAATAAATAAATAAATCCACAAGCTAATCATAGTCAAAAGACTGCACCAGAACAACATGCTGGCTTGCATGTGAGAGAACTAATCATAGTCTGTGTTTCATTTTTCAATTATGAATCATTTTTTTCCTCTGTCTGTGATCTGTTATTGTTTCCCATTCCATACAGTACTCTTTGTTATTGCAGTTTGATTGCCATGTGGTTTTATTATGCAAACCTTTATTTCCTATTCACAACCGTTTATTGCATACAAAATTCTGGATATGTGGTTTTTGGTGACCATGATCCAACATACTGGTTGTGGTGTGAAACCACAGAAAAAGTGGAAAAAATAAATGTGTAAATGGTCCAAGAGTACTTTTAATTTTATGAGAAGAAAAAGATGGTGCATATTGTAACACATATGCCACTTAACAGGGACTACTGGTTATCCTTTTAAGGATGTCTATCAGTTTTGAACAGTAAGCAGAAATTCCAAAATATAAATAGAAAAAAAAAGATATATTTGAAGTACACACAATATTAAATTCAGAAAATATCTAATTTGTATTGAGTTGATATTGATGATTTTGAGTGTTGCTAGTTTTGTATGTGTATTTATATATGTAGAAATAACTTTTATATTGTACATGGCATATATGAAAAAGTGTGTGTGTGTTTGTGTGTGTGTTTGCATGAACGAGTAAGACATTTTCTACCACTCAGCATATATTTGGGAGAATATGGCACCCACGGGCACTGCATTGGGGACCTCTGCCCTAGGAAAACTACATAGGCAATAGGGATATTTGCATGGCTTTTGTATCTCTGATTTTTATTTTTATATAAATGGCTTTCTCGTATTTATTGCTATTGAGTAAGTTCAAAAAAGTAATATAAATACACCTCAGTATTTATAATATTTATTTCTTTCATACAGAACTAGCTGTTAACAACAAATCTGCAACTTTGTATTTAAATTCTTTGATTCTTTTCCTTCAGTTTGTACCTGACAGTTGGCAACTTAAATTCCACCTGGAAACTTATTGGCAGTCAGTGCAGATCCTGGAGCACTGCTGTAATGTGCTCCCTATGTTAAATTCTCCTTAATAAACATTTGGAGGTAGCCTCATTTTCCAAGTGGCTGTAATGTGGGTAGCCCCATGCAGAGTGCATGTTGTAATCTAATCTGGATCACTGCGACAAAAAAACCATGATGAATTAATTTGAACTTCCAGTTATGTAAACTCCTGACTCCTTAGTCTTGTATACACTTCCAGGAAGCTTTTTCTCCCACTGTTCCCCACATGTTTCATTCACTCCAAAGCCTCAGAGGTCTCTTTACCCTTTTCCTGATCCCATTCAACAGTGCTGTCCCCAGGAATAGGAATCCTATTTCACGTTTTTTTCCTACCTCACAATCTGTTTGGAGGAGATACCAGCTGGTTGCTTTCTCTTGGACTTTTGGGGCAATCTGCCACAATCAGATGTTATCAAGGAGCAGCACACTCCTACTTTGTGCCATAACCTCTTCTGCAACACTACTGGCCTTTTGTGGTCTCCAGTCTATAAGGAATTAGGCTATGTGGTTGTAAACCTCACAGTTATCACAAAATCTCATGTGATACATAGTCACTGACACCAATGCTATTATGTCTGCTCCCATAAGTGATGAAATTGAGAGACCCTGCTCCTCCCAATGCCTTGTAGTTTAGAGAAAAGTGCTTCAGATTAGCAGACTGAGTTCTAGTCCCAGATCTTCCATTGGAAGCTGACAATATTTCTGTGTAATTCAAAATTTTTCTTAACTAAGGCATCACATCCCTGCCTTACAGGGTGATAAGTGTTGTTAAGTCATTTTACTGATAAGTTAAATTGAGGGGTGTGGCAGCATATGCACACGCCATCACAGGAGTGTGACCATTATGGGTTGAGGCACCATCAGCCGCAGTGTCGTCAGCAATCTTTCTAGTCTGTAAATATCCCCTTGTCTCTGGATAACACTGAGTCTGTAAGCAGTCCTGTGAGCAGGCCAGAATGGCCCAATGGCCAAAGTCAGTACGATTGGTGGCTAGTGCCCTAGTAGGGGGACCCAGGCCCACTCTGCTCCACCGGGTCCCGATCCAGAGCCCTGTGAGCGATAGATCAATCTACCAATACCTTGGCTGGGAATCCGGCCAAAACACGCTGAGTGTACCTGGGTGGGAGAGGCCACTCCTGCACCCTCCCTGGGTTGCTTCCTACCAGTGCTACTAAGGTGTTGTCCCACGTAACAGCTGGTCTCCCAGTTCCCCAGCAGTGGTTTCTCTCTGGGGCTCCACTGAGGCTGAGTAGCGGCAGTCTCTTGGAACTTCAGTTCCTACTGTCTGGATCACTGACTGTTGCGGCTCTGGAGCTCTAGCTGGCGGTCCTTCCTCTTCACTGGCCAGCCCAGACTGAGCTGCTCACTTGCCTTTTATGCTGTCTCAGCACTAGGAGCATGCCCAGTCTGGCATGAAGCGGTTGAAGGGGCAGGACTTCTGCCCACAGGGTTTTCACCCCTCCTGTTCTAGTACAGGGTATGCACACCTAGTCACAAGGGGTCATATCCAGCTCACTTCACACTAAGTGGGAATAGAAGGCAAGTTCCCATAGTTACAAACCAAATTTCCATCCCCTCTGCCACATTACAGTTCAGAAGGAATTTGATATGCTCTGTTTACAGACAGTCTGCTCCCAGAACCTAAAAAAATCTGACCTTTTTAGTGTTGCTAATACCAAACATTCAAAAATTATTTCTCTGGCTCACCCCAAATCACGAGATTTTAAAAAATAATATTTTGAGTGCTTCTTTGCCTTCTGCTTTTAGAACCTATGGGGTACCCTTTGGTCATTTTTCATGCTTTTTCCCTGCAGCCACAAGGATTAAAACTGTACCTTATTTAAAAGGAAATCTGAGATTCTCACATAATCACAGTATTCTATGAACTGGGGCATTAAAAGAAAACAAATCACCAGGGGTGTGTCTAGACTACATTGCTCCGTCAATGGAGTCATGTAAAGTAGTTTACCCGATATAGTCAATGAAGCAGGGATTTAAGTAATCCCCGCTTCATCAAAATAAAAATGGCCACCGCGCTTTGCCGACCATCAGCTGATCCGGCACAGCATGGCAGTCTAGACGTGGATCGGTCGACAAGGGAAGCCTTTGTCGACTGCGACAAAGGCTTCCCTTGTCGACCGATCCACG